GTTGGAGGCTGAGTTGGCCGTGGCGGCCGCGTGGCCGTCCGGAGAGCTCCCTTTCCCACCATCCCCTCCTTCCGACTGAAGCTTCTTGGAGCCCTTCCTCTTTGCCGATACGGCCACGATGCGTTTCCATGGTAACACGCTGATGATGGAGGGGCGCTTGAGGGACTTGGCGGCAGCAGCAGCAGCATCCTTGGCATTCTTGCTGTTCTGGACGGCGGTGTAGTGGCCCACTGTGGCCGGGCCGTCCTCAAACAGCGCAGCCTTGCGGTAGCTGGGAGACAGCGATAGCACCGTACCCATGATGTCTGGTGAGGTTTAGCACAGGGGCAGGAAGCAGCAGGGAAAAGCTCTTTGATTGGTCTAGACAAAGAGCTTCGAGAGGGCCAAAGCGTCTCACTTCTGGAGGAAGCTGAACCTGTGAGCACGAAAGCAAATATTCTCAGTTCGTCATTGTATGCAATAAACAATGCAAAGCCACGCAGCAGCAAACAACTAATTATTAATGATCAAACTGCAAGCTCAGTTAATTAAACATGATGTCACTCTTGGCCCACTAGTAGAGGTTTCTGAGCTTCTCGTGATCATCCCAGGCGCTTTCACTTTAGTCAGTTTTCTTGGTGTCATGTGTGAGCCACCTTTTTTTTTTTTGGAAAGCATTCAAGAAAATTAACGAGATGCTTTTTATTTCATTTTTATCTTTAATTTAACTTCTTAAAAACAAATTTATTTTGGTAGAGTTCAAGCTGTTGTTTCTAAAATGAAGGGTGAACCTTCACACTAAACTGTTTGTGTAAGGACTGAATGAAGAGTACATATTCAGGCTCTACTCAGTGGCTTTTCTGCACATCTCATCGTCTTTCCAAGAGAATACAATTTGCTTAGTTGTTACCAAGACAGTTACGTCCACAGTGCTGTTACTGTCAGCCAGCTACAAAAACAACTGAGCAAACTGCATCCTCTGAAGGACAACGGAGAGATGGTCGCAAGAGCTAGAAAAAGCTGCCATATGGACCCTAAGTTAAGATTTTTTTTGTTCATACTGCTTCTTCTAAAGTCACACCTTCTTGTTTCTGAGAAGTGTGAGTCACGAGTAAAGCCATAACCGTGTATTTTCCATTTTTTCCCTCCACAAAGCTTTCTGCCTCATCTCACAGTCTAATGGCGCTTCCTCGCTGTACCTGCCCGTATAGATATTTCCATGAGGATCTTGCTGTCGCGTAGCAACCACGACATGTACATCCCCCTCTAAGAAAGACCCTGACACGCAGTTAAACCGGCTAATCTCATAAGTGGACTTTTGAGTTAAGATTTTATGATTTTTTCTGAGGTCCACGCTCGATGTTTGACATGTTTTTGCGAGCAGCGATTGAAGATTCGACTGAGGGAGACAATAAAATGTAACCGACAGCCTCCACGTGATGTAAAGTGGAACCTTGAGGTAATGTGGAGTTGATTACTGTTTCCAAGGGCAGAAATAAACTCTGACACTAGGATGGGCATAGATCAAAGCAGACTTCAGCCCCTTAGAAAACACTGACAGCCATCTTTTATCCTGATCCAACTACTGTACACTATTTAGCTCTTTACTTCCTTTCCAAAGATTTCAGCCTCATCTCATGGGCTTCCTCAGCTGATAAATTTTGCTTCCATTTTCACAGGGAGGGATGCCGCTGTCCCCTTGTAACCACGACAACTGAGGAGTGTAGTTGAAAGCCCCTGACAAGCTTTTATACACACACTTAGATCCACTTGTGTGTGTTTTTTCTGAGCTTCTACTGGGAAAATTTGATTGAAAAGTGCCAATAAGTGGAGTTTAAATTTAGTGCAGAAATGAGCTCTTTTGCTTGTTCCTCTTACGAGCAAGCCAGAAGATAAGTGCTCATGGTCTGCTTACTAGTTTCCATCCCAACCATTCTAGTCTCATCTCCTAGCCTTCCTCAGCCAGTGCAGTTTGCTGCAGACGGACATTTCCGCACAGGGATGCTGCTGTTTCCTAGCAACCACGGCAACTGAGGAATCTCCACGTTCGGAGGAAGACCCTGAAATGCAGTTGCAAGCCCGTAAAAATCTAGTAAGTGATCTTTGAGTGAGTCAAGGTGTTTTGTTTTTTTGTTTTTAGGGTCACAGCTTTCACACTTGAGATTTGACTTCTTCCTGTGAGGACTGAGCGAGGATTAAATTTATCGTGGTGCATTTACTCGTTTTCTTTTTTTTTTTCACCAAAGTTTTCTGCCTTATCCTGTGGTCTTCCTCTGAGTTAACACAGCTGCCCTGATGGATGTTACCATGGGGATGTTGTTGTTCCCTAGCAACCGAGCACACTCCACCCCCTGGAGGAAGACCCTGAATGGCAGCTTAAAGCGGACTATTTTATTTTTATTTTTACATTTTTTTTCACTGTTTCTTAGATCATAATGTTATTGTGAGGTGTAAGTTAGGAAAAAATGTTTCTCCAGGCCTATTTATCTTAACGTTATTATTTAAATTAATCAAATACAGGTAGTATTTTACATAATAATGCCAGGTCTTGACTGTAATAGTCAAATTTCTTGGGTAAATTCACATAAGAACTAATAAATATGCTACATGTACATGTTGTCTTTACTCTTTTTAAAAATATTTGCACAATACCTAATTCATTTTTGTCTAATTGTGTCAAAGCATCGACAGGATTGCTGCCTACTTTTGTTGTGCGATGACGACAAAAGAAATTCTTTTCTATTCTAGTCTTTACAGGAGGGTTTCTTCGGTCACAATGCCTCTTATTTCTCGACTGCAAAACACTTTGTCTCAATGGCTGCTGTTTTAAATGCACCAAATAAATAATAAAAACTCAAAAATATACATAAAATAGCAGCAAGTGAGCCTTAAATTAAGTGCAGGATTTTGTTTTTCTGGTCAAAACAATATTTCCAATCTAAAGCAGTGAACATCCACTCTGGGATTTCTACTTTCCAGTTAATGTATTTAGGTTTTGGCTGAGGTGAGATGAAAATCTTTCAAGATTTTTCAAAGCAATTGTTGAATTTAATCCCTAATGATGGAATGTTGCTGAATAAAACGTTTAAGGAAAGGGTTTAATCATTATGTTTTGCACCTGAGATCTCAATGTGAAATCATAAAAATTGCACAGCTCCACATTCCATCACAGCAGCTCCTGTTCGTCTATAAGCACCTTTTTTTCTGCATACAGGACGTATATAGGAAGCTCACGTCGCGTTCACACGGGCCTGCCACTGTTCACCAGCAGGCCTATTATATAAGAACCAAGATAAGGCCACAGAAGCAGGAAAAAGAAATGTGCGCAAGCATCCATCTTAGCTTCAAAATGGAAGCCTTGAAAACACCCCCCACCCCCAACACTAGGCAGCTTCGGATAATGATAATTAAAAAAATAAACTGCTGATTGTGATTTCACACATCTACAGCCCACACAAGAAAAATCACGATGCTTTAGTGTTTTTGACCAGGATGCCTGCTGCTGTTGCTGCTGCTGCTGTGCGTAATTGTTGCGCTCTCTGGTGCTTCTGATCGGGCTGTTTTCTCATCAGTGGAAAACAATGATGATGATGATGATGATGATGATGATGGGGATGATGATGATGCCACATGCAGTGAGACTCATACCTCTTAATTACTGGAGTCTTCTTGTGAAATCCATGTATCACACCTTGACCCCCCCTCCTCTCTTCTCCTTCTTCTTCTTTTTCCTTGCCGCTGATCAGAACGCGTTTCCACTCTTTGGAGCTTGTCCGGGGCGTGAAAACGGCACAAACCCACCGCGTCAGAGGCCGACAGGTTTGTCTCCCTGGTGGGCTGCTGCTGCCTTCCTCAGATCTTCATCTAGAAACGGTCCCTCGCTCGTCGATGGGGATGCAAAGCCCGGATGCTTCGGTCTCGCAGCGAGTGGAAAGATGTCTTCCATTGAGAAGCAAGGAGGGGAAAAAAAATTCTCCACGGTCACGGCTGTTGATGTCCCGCTAACCTCCCTCCTCAGACGTAAATACAGCAACACGTCGAGAGAGAAAAAAAAATCCCGAAATCAACACAAAAAGGGAGGGAGAGAGAGATAGAGAGAGAGAGAGAGAGAGAGGGAAAAAATGGCCACTATGTATTCCAAAAATAGACCGCAGCTTAGTCCCTCAGCTATGCAAAAACCTGCCAGAGAGAGAGAGAGAGAGAGAGAGAATAGAGAGAGAGAGACCCGCTGCTTTGATGCGGGCATCTGCAGTTATTCGGGTTGGATGTGGCGGAGGAGAGGCGGCCTCTGATTGGCTGCCGCCGGGACGGATGCTGCTGCCGCTGCCGCATCCGCGCCGCTGAAGCCATTGGCCGCCGGCGGAGCGCAGCCTATCGCTGGGTTCCTCTGTCCGAGGTGCTGAAACCAGCCGAGAGTCAGAGCTTCTTCTGCTGCTGCTGAGGAAGAGGAGGAGGAAGAGGAGGAGGAGGAGGATCAACGCGGAGGATTTTGTGAATCAGTCTGAGTAGGCCGAGACCCACCAACACTGTGGGTGCGAAATCCGCCCGCAGACAAACACGAGCTGCAACCAGAGGGGAGATGATTCCTCTGGATTTATTAGAAACAGGTTGACTCCCCCCACCTCCTCCCTTTATCAGATCTTTACATTAATTAACATATAATTTACTCATGATCATTTAAGGTCCTTAGCATTCCATGAGAGGCTTGTTTCACCTTTAAATCGACTCAAATAGGTCAAATTAATCAATATTTATCTTCCTCAGATCTTCATCTAGCCTCTCCAGCTCTTAGGCCACTATAAGGCACCTCATTCTCAAACACGTAAACCTGATGAAGAGCATCGGCTGGAGTCTTCCTCTGCCATTTCTGTCCAGATTAAAGCCACTGTGCAGACACCCTGTACAGCTGCTCCCTCCTGGTACGACCACCTTGTGCTTTTTCAGCCACGATCAAGACTCTACAAAGCCTCTGCGGAGGCTGTGAGCTAAAAGTGGATTTGTCTGAATGGCTTTCATCCCAAATGCAGCTCTACCTGCAGGCAAAGGAGGCCACTGTGTGGGAAGAGAAGAGTGGATTTGTAAAGCCTTTCAAAGAGGACGCTCTTCCTAAATACTGAGAAATATAACACTCGTATGCACACACAGTGAGTCACCTGGCTGCAAAAATTACGTTCAAAAATGAAGTTACTATATAATGCGATGAATCATTTCAATGTATATTTTCAGTTTTTTGAAGGATGCAATCTGCAGAACAGGAGGACAGAGAGACGATGTTGCACTGCTTATCGCCTCCTAATATACATGCACACATAGAAAACACAGACAGTAGTTCATACTGTAATGTACATTTCTAAGGTGCATTATAGCTCCTGCATGATGACATCTGGTGTGAGAGACTAAGGAGGACAAATCATATTTGCATACAATAAAACACCATACTGCCTGATTTAACCTTTAGTTTTCTGGCTTTATCGTCCATAAAGTGTCTGTCTGAGGAACAAACAATAAATTCACTCCTGTGTGAGTTAATTTTGCATGGACATAATCAGGGGTTAAAATGAAAACACAGACAGAAAAATGACAACAACAACCGTACGGGGGAAAAAACAGTGACTGAATATATAATGCCTTACACAATAGATTGGAGAACGGGCTGCTAGAAATGTAAGCATGTGGCAAGATTTCATTTGTAAATAGGCTGAACACTTGCAGCTATTGTGGATATGCAGTGCTAGAGGCAAAAGTTGTTAGTGGTACTTTCTTTTTTTCACTTAAATTATAAAACACCCAGTTGTGTGGAAATTAAATTAGCTGTTGTGCATTTGTAAATGTAATTTTTTGGCAATTCTAGCTAATTGTTAATACTTGATTGATTAATGGCAGTTTTTTTTTTATCATAATACACCAGGCTGATTTTTAATCATTTTATTTTATTTTATTTTATTTTATTTTATTTTATTTTACTTTATTGCGGAGGGTAGC